CCAGAGTCTTTGGGTGTCAATCTGGGAACAGTGCAGAAGATCTGAAAAGAGTTGGAAACTAATAGTGATTGCAAGGTGTTGGAAGTGATCATTAGTGATTACAATGTTAAGCCGCTATTCATCTTCCCACTGGGCCTCATACTCAACACGGAGGCTTACATCAACTTCCTTGTGGAGATAGTGCTGGCCTATGTCTGGCAATAAGACTCTGAACCATGCCACACAAACAGGAGAATCTCATCATGGCTGTCAGACAATTTCTGCGACCACATCACCCATTTACATCTGGCCACCTAACTTCCCAAACTGCAACCGCCTTCATTATTATGTGTGGGGAGCAGTTGAGAAAGAATTATGGAAGAATTCGCTAACACTGAGACTGTCCAGAAGAATTGCAGGATATTCCAAAGTCGTCTGGAGGCTGTGGTTGAAGCCGATGGCGATTTTATTGAATAAATCCGTTTCCTTATTATTTCATGACATTTTTTTGTGTAATTTGGCAAATATATCTCTTAAAATGAGATATCAGTGTTATTTTCATTGTTGTATAATTTAGACAACAGTTTGTCAATTGCTCATATATATACAGGATGTCCATAAGTTCGAGTGCACTTTAAAAAATGATAACTTTAAACGTAACCCTAACCCTTGCGATAGAAATAATCTGTAAAAAATGTTATAAATTTTAATGTACCTAGTTTTAAGTGCAGCTAAAATAACTAATGTGTTTTCTAGCATTACTGTAAATCAGTTGGCAAATGTTTTCCGTGAACTGCAAAACCGTTTTACCCTTTATATTGCTAATGATGGAGGACATGTGGAAACTTAAATAAAATTTCAATAAAACTTTAAAAAATAAAGATTTACTTCTTTCTAATCCTTTTCACAAATTATTTCTCTCGCAAATAAAAGAAAATTATAAATTTTTTAATTTTTTAAAGTGCACACGAACTTTATGGACACCCTGTATGTATATATATGTATATATATATATATATATATATATATATATATATATATATATATATATATATATGATTGAGGATAATTCTAATATATATATATATATATATATATATATATATATATATATATATATATATATATATATATATATATATATATCATGATTATTTGTAAGCCGTATGGATAAATCCAAAGAGCCTGGAGGCTGTGGTTGAAGCCAATGGCGATTTTATTGAATAATTCCCTTTTTATTATTTCATGATATTTTTTTGTGTAATTTTGATATATATGTCTGTTAAAATAAGATATCAGTGTTATTTTCAGTTTTCTGCAATTTAGACGACAATTTATCCATCGCTACCAATATATATATATATATATATATATATATATATATATATATATATATATATATATATATATATCCGAGCACATGGTTTTGATATATCATCATATATCTTTTGAAAGAGAATTATGTGCAAAAACAAAAATGATTCGCGTGTTCAACATTGGGAACTGCGTACTGGTTGGGTACTGCATTTGTGCTTTCTCAGAAGGTCAAATCTTTTGGCGTTGATAACGAGCAATTAGGCGATGAAGACACTTGGCGTGAAACGATAAACTGTGATTAGCCCGAAAGCGATTTGACAAATTATTTTTCTGACAGGTGGAAAAAAATAAAGACTTTTTGATGCAAAACGAACGCTAAGTGGTCAGAAGCCTGTTTCGTTCGTTTAAAAAAATGAATTCAAAATATTTTATTCGTTTGATTTTGAGTTGTTTCTAAAAGAAATGTATTTTCTAATAAAACATACTTTGCAATTTTTAATTAATATACACATATACACAGTTAACGCCACAAAATAAAGAATTTATATCAAGTAGCCAAACGTCACTGATTGGCTGGTTGATATAAGCTAATCGTCACAGGCAATATCTGCTTCTGATCGAGAAAAAGATGAATAGAATTTTAACAGAAAAGGGTAAGTTGGGAAAACGAATGGAAGGTAAAAATCATTAACGATAAACAATTCTGAATATTTGGCAGAAGTACCGGTAATTTCATGAATACCTGTCCAACGAACTCAGAGTTAATGGCTATATTATTCATGCAGAGATATTTTCATAAATCAAAAAGAATATTAATAACATTTTTTCCTTTTTCTCCTACTCCTCCTCTTCATCTTCTTCTTTTTCTTCTTCTCCTCCTTCTCCTCCTCTTCTTCTTCTTCTTCTTCTCCTCCTCCTCCTCCTCTTCTTCTTCTTTCTTTCTTTCTTTCTTTCTTTCTTTCTTCTTCTTCTTCTTCTTCTTCTTCTTCTTTTTCTTCTTCCAATGCTGCTGGTACTACTAAGGCTGATACATGTCTCTTCAGATTCTGGGCAAAATCCCAAAAATAATCTGCAATATTATCAGTATCGACCTGGTATCTTCACCCGTTGAAACACCAGTTCTCTTACGATCACCGAAGTTAAGCATCGTCGCACATGGTCAGTATCTAGATGAGTGACTGCTTGGGAATACTAGCTGCTGTAAACTTGAATGCGCATTTGCTGTAGTGAATAACGGCTCGAATTGGAAATCGGAGGACCGAGTTCAAATTATACTCAGGTTCGTTATATTTCGATTAATTAATAGTACTTGTGTCAGTAAGTCCTTATTATCTTTCAAAAATTCTTACAATCTAAAGAGATTTTAAATAACTTGTAAAAGGTTGATAAGACGTAAAAAACAAATCAATTATTAATCTGGCATCTTGGCTTCAATAACTTTCTCACCGCCGTCAGTCATTACTAAAAATTATTTTCCTGGAAATTGTTTGATGAGCTTTACCCTTTGGTGCTTGTAGAAAAATCACGTGGTAGAGATAAACACTTAGTTGTGGAGCAAGCTAAGTGAACAATAATCCAACCTTTAGAAAGAGAGCTATTTATGTTGCCATAGAGCATCTCATTGTGCTAAAGTGGGATAGTCCATTGCTTGGGCTGTGATTGGCTGCTGGTACCTGAGTGGAGGTATTTCTATATAAATACCAGCTTGATTCATCTGTTAGTTTGCAGGGTTTGTATTAAGTTACAACCTGCTTTATTTTTGTCTGCCAACTGGACGCTAGCTGGGACCTTTACACCGGTAAGTGCTGTTTATTATTGTTATTCTACAGTGCTTAGATTTCATAATTTTAAGCGTAGTACTAGATTGACGACTCTATCTAATTATTTAACTCTTGAAATGTCTAAATGTAACCGCAAGTTCTATTTTAATAGTTTCTTCCCTCGCACTTCTTGCCTGTAGAACTCTCAACCAGATTTTTGCATTCTTGTCAAATTACAACCTAAAATAAAATCCAACGTAACCTTATTTGCCATCCCCTTTTTCTTGAATTTTGTTTTTTTTTTTCATTTTGTCCTGCTTGTTTAGATAGAAGACGGCAAGTGCGACACTGAGTTCCGTAGACGTATTGGGATTGTCAAGGACGCAATCCAAAAGCTGGGCAGAGTACTGCGAGAGAACATTTCGGTAACTCATTTCGGTAAGATTACTGAGCTCTTACGTGACATCTGTCCTCCTTTACGGCATCGAATGTTGGACAGTCTACTCAAAGATGAAGAAGAATATTCTCGAAGCGATGGAGATTTGGTTCTACAGAAGGATGCTGAGAATATCATGGACCGAGCCTTTGGAGCAATGATGAGGTCTTGGAGAGGATGCAAACAAGGAGGAGGCTTATAATTAACATCAGGAAGAGGCAGCTGAAGTTTCTGGGACACGTAATAAGAAAAGAGGGCCTGGAGAATCAGATACTCACAAGTCTAATAGTGGGAAAGAGAGACAAGGGAAAACAACACATGACAAACCTGGCGGGCTTGAGCAAGTGGATGACAGAATGCGGTCTTGAGGAGGTAGCAGAAGGACGAAATTTATTGAGAGCCACAAAGGATAGGGGGAGTCATGATCGCCTACGTCCTGAAAGGACACGGCACATAAAATGAAAGAAGTAATGTTTTCTCAGTTTCTTCGTTCCATTGTCTTTCATTCTCATGCGTCTTAGTGGCTTTATTGTCTTGCTTGGGGTTAAATTATTAAAATAAATAATCGTCATTCCTTCGAATTTTCAAGACCGAATATTATTTATCATATTTCAATTTAGAAGAAAGAAGAAACATGAAAGGATTATTATGATTGATAGACATGAGTTGAGGGCTGATAAGTTCTCGACCCGACCCACGTCACAATATCAGTATTCCGATGATTGATCACTGAATTTATTAATTTGGGAGTGTGTCGGGTCAAGAAGTTTTCAATTCTCCTGGAGACGTTGTCTTGTAAGTAAGAAAAAAGAAAGAAAGAAAGACAATGATAAGAATGAACGAACAGAAAAAAGAAAGAAATAAAGAAAGGAAAAAGAAAGAAAAATATTATCAAGGTTGATGTGAAATGGTAAAGAAAAAACAAAGAAATTAGCGGGGTAGATATGAAACAGTAAAAAAAGAAGAAAGAAAAAAGAATGGATGAAAGAAAGAAAAATATTAGCGAGGTCGACGTGAAATGATAAAGAAAAAAAAATAAAGAAATGAGTAAGGTAGATATGGAACGGTGAAAAAAAAAAGAAAGAAAAAGAAAGAAGGAATGAAAGAAAGAAAGAAAAAGAATGAAAGAAGATAAAAAGAAAATATTAGAGAGGTCGACGTGAAATGGTAAAGAAAAAACAAAGAAATTAGCAAGGTAGTTATGAAACAGTGAGAAAGAAAGAAAGAAAGAAAGAAAGAAAGAAAGAAAGAAAGAAAGAAAGAAAGAAAAAGAATGAAAGAAAGAAAGAAAAATATTAGCGAGGTAGACGTGAAATGGTAAGGAAAAAAATAAAGAAATTAGCAAGGTAGATATGAAACAGTGAGAAAGAAAGAAAGAAAGAAAGAAAGAAAGAAAAATATTAGCGAGGTCGACGTGAAATGGTAAAGAAAAACAAAGAAATTAGCAAGGTAGTTATGAAACAGTGAGAAAGAAAGAAAGAAAGAAAGAAAGAAAGAAAAATATTAGCGTGGTCGACGTGAAATGGTAAAGAAAAAAGAAAAAATAGTTAGATATGTAACAGTAAAAAAGAAAGAAAAAGAAAGAAGAAAAAATAAAAGTAAGAAATAAATAAAGAACATATTAGTACGAATTAATTACTATTTACTCCATTATTAGGTAAAAAAAGTGCTTAATATTCCATTAAAATAAAGCGAGACCATTAATTTATTTTCTAACCAAGCAATAATTGTCAAGTTCACTGTCTGTACTCATAATCAAATAACAACCTATTTCGTTTCGTCTTTACAAAATTCCTTTCAAGAAAAAAAATTCAGTTCCTTGGAAAAGTGTAAAGTCACTTAGAACTCGATTATTCTGATCAAAATTAAAGAATTTCTGGGAGAACAGAATTATGCAGTGGCTGAGATGATCGAAGACAGTTGAACAAACTTTTAACATACTAGAATTTATTTTTTGATAAACGCTGACGTGTGTTGAAATCCTCACAGTATTTAGTATAGGGAGGCACGGTGGAGTAGTGGATTGTTGCCCGGATTGAGGAATCGGAGAGCGGAGTTCAACTTCCAGTCAAATCCATTACATTCACTTACGTGCTAATACCCTTGGGAAAGCTATGAATCCTCTTCTTCTCCCCACACTCCAGCAATGGGTAAATAGCATGACAGATCGGGTTCTATAGCCTTGGATGGCAACTCGTCTACTATAGCATGAAATGGCAACCTGCTTCAGGGGAAAAATCTGCCTCATCTGTCATGTATCAAAAGATATATGAACGCCTATACGTGTATCACGCATGGCACGTAACTGCTTTAAGATTGTTGAAATGATGACTTCCTCTGCCTATTGGAAACACTCTCTACTGTGTTTATATTTACAATGTTACTATTTTGTCATAACTGAATATATATATATATATATATATATATATATATATATATATATATATATATATATATATATATATATATATATATATATATATTATAAAGTGGTGAGAAACAAAACCATCAGTCTACAAATTTCCAGAGAGACCATTGAGAGTAGAAGACAAACCCTGAACTATGTAAAGTCTTTCACCTATCTTGGTAGCAAAATATTCGACTTGATACGAAATTTCCGGTTTACAGAGCTGTTGTACATGCCATCCTTTTGTATGGCTCAGAATCGTGGACTCCATACAAGTACCATATACGACAGCTAGATGTTTTCCATAAAAGCTGCCTGCCTGCAATCTGTGGAGTTAAGCTTCAAGATAGGACAACTAACGTAGACCTGTTTAACAGGTGTAATATTGGAGGAATTGAAACTTTTCTCATACAGTCTCAGTTACGTTGGACTGGTCATGTCTTGAGAATGTCTGATGCCAGGATACCCAAGATCTTAATGTACAGCCAGTTAGATCAGGGCTACAGGAATGTAGGAAGCCCATGGCTAAGATACAAAGACAAGCTGAAGAGCAACTTGTCAGCTGTCAATATAATACATAACACCCTTGAGCGCTTAGCTTTGGAGCGGGTAGATTGGAGATCAATGTGTTTTAGTGGACTCAGCAATTTTCAATCTGCTTGTCTGAATCATGTTCAAGAAGCGAGAGCAAGATCTAAAAGGTCAACCAATCTAACAGTGATCTCATCTCACAATACTCGCACTTGCTTCATATGCGACCTCCTTTGTAAATCAATAGCGGATCTTAAATGTCACTTAAGATTAGCGCATAAACTTTCATAACTGAATCAATAAGCTGGCAGATCCTCATACGTCGAATATATATATATAAACTAAAAGATATGCAAAAAACAGTATTAAATAAATATTTGTTATTTTAAATATTAAATTGCTTTTAAAATAGTGGGAGTATTTTGTCTGTTAAATAATAAAAATTTTGATTTTTTAAAAACATTAATGAAAATTTATTGTATTAAGATACACAGCCTAGTAAAACTGACTGTACGTTTTACCCCCTTCCCTGTTTGCACTTCTCCTAAAACATTGGTTTCGCTCGGTTAATGTATCGCTATTTTACATGGTACAACGACGGATGGACGGACTAACTGAAGTCATAATTTTATATATAGATGATGTTTGATAATTTAATTCTCTCCGGAGTACGTGACTGAGTTAATGCGTCAGGCAAACATTTATGCCCAAGAATGTCCTGGCATGCTCCAACTTGCGCTTTCATGAGACGCACACCAGATAATTTCCTCACTGACGAGCAGTAGAGGAAGTTGTACGTGTTCATGTTATACTGGTGGTTAAAATATATATGAAAGTAATCTGAAGCACTTGATTAACACCAATTTTAAAAGAAAATTTTTAAAAGGTCTAATAAAACATTGGCCCTTTTAATAATCAATGACTGAACAAGCAATGGAAAAATCAAAATTTAACGATTGACACATACGGTTCAAGAAAGGGGGAAAAAGAGGAACAGGATGACACAAGAATTTTTCAGCCAAAATCAAATTGTAGTATGGGATTCACTCCAGGAAACATTTCAGGTTTCA